GTATGTAATTATAATTTTCAGTATATTGAAGTTGGTAAATTCGAGAGTGCCATGCATTAACATACGTCCAAATCTGCTGCCAAATTTAACAGCTAGAAAATTGACCTATTATTTGCCGCATTCCCATTCGCTGAGGGGGATAACGGATTGTTAAATGTAAACCTATAACATATATCAAAATACATGGAGGTTGTCCTGTTTTTTCTGTACAAAAGCATCATGTTGGAATCAAAAAGTGGTGCTGTTTATAATACAGTCGAATTTTCACGATTTCATTCAATATTTCAATAGAAATCACTGATATTCAGAGACCTTTGACAGCTTCCGTCAAATTTCGATAAGGTCTTTTCCTATTGGTCCAACTGACCGTCAAATATTAATGTTGGTGAAATTGGCCCTTAACCTGCAATACAGTGAGAGCCGGGGATTATCAAACGGCCACGTCACTAGTTTTGATAGACTTTTCTAAGGCAATCGATACCATAAATCCTTGTCTCTTACTAAAAAAGTGTATTTTTCTTTGATTTCTCTAATTCTCCTATTAATCTGTTTAATAGTTTTTTACAAAATCAATCTCAGAGGGTACGCATTGATATGATTTAATCTCCAAAATGTCCTATTTCCTCCGGAGAACCACAAGGGTCTGCACTTGAGCCACTATTATTCACTATACAGGGTGCAAACGTCATGGTAGTCATTATTGAAATGGGTAATAGGGCGGTCAAAACAAGTCAAAAAGTTCATATGGCCCGTGGTCCAAAAGTCAATAGATTTTTGTCTAAATGGCTTTATAGTGTACAACTTTAAGTGCTTTATATCGACCACAATCACCACAATCTTTCTAATTTTTATAATCTAATCTAAAACGTTTTTAAACTGGGGAGGTAATTAACAAATAAATGGCATTAAGTTTTTCTAATTTAAGCCCCTTTGTAGTCAGTAAGTTTCATTAAATTATATATTTAAAAAACAGATGACAACAGCGCGTCGGTCTTTTATCACTCTTATCGAACCGGCAATCGATCGCAAGCGGTAACAGTGGTTAGTTATCGTTTTGCTTAGATAAATTACTTTATCGTTTTGTCGAGCAGCGCATCGAGCGTGTTGTTATGTTTTTGTTTGCGTACGCCGTCGTGTTTATTTACAATGCTGTCGAATCAAGAGTTCGCCGACATGTTGTCCCTCGTCAGAATTCAAATCTTGCAGCTCAAATTAATCGCGACAGATTTCGCCAACGGGTACTCCCAGACAGAAGGACATTTGTGCAAGTGTACCAAAGACTTCGAGATACAGGAAGTGTTCAGCCCACCAATATTCGCCCTCGTGAAAGATAGGTTACTGTAGAGCAGGAAGAACAAATTTTAAATATCGTGGAAATCAATGCAGATATCAGCACTCGGGAATTAGGCCGCCGCGTAGGACTATCGCATACCATAGTCCATAGAATCCTACGGGAAAAATTGCTTTATCCCTACCATGTACAACGAGTGCAGGCCTTGTTAGCAGAAGACTATCCTCGCAGACTAACATCCTGCCAGTGGTTTTTGCACAAAAACATTGGAAACCCGGATTTTTTTAAAACCATTCTAGCGACGGACGAAGACAAGAAATTTGCCATAAAAGAAGATAGGGAGCGACTAAATATGTTGCTTACCTAACAGCTTGGACATCATCTTAGGAGCCAGTGCAGGAAAACGCATCTTCAGATTTCGAGATAGATTTACAAGAAACCTTCCCCATCCTAACTCAGAGGATACAACCTGGTAGTAATCAAACTCAAATGAGGAAAAGTTTCATTACTACAAAATTAGTAGCATCATTGGATAGGTGCCCGTTAATCAGGAGAAATGCTGTATGTATTATTTAGGCAATCATTGAGACACTTGGAGATAACACTAACAAGTTTCCTATAAGCAAGTGCTCCATTCAAACAATCAATGCCGAAAAGTGAAAGGATCGCACAGAAGCTATAAAGCTTGATTTCCAAACCGAGGTACAGGATACTGTAACTGTCCACTGACCAATTGTTAAAACTCATCACTGTGCTCAAATTGGATAACTCTTCAAGCAGCGAGCAGGCTCAGGCAGTTTGAGATGCTATGACTGACTGGAATCTTGAAGATAAACTTCAGACTCCACACACTAACTTTGCTTCTAGAACAGAAACTTAATACAGTCATGCTTATTTTTGCTTGCCGCCTTCACGTCTACGAATTGGTGTTAGAAGGTGTGCTTGAATCAACGGTCGACCAGGTGTCTACAAGCCCTGACATTCCAATGTTTAAAAAGATTCGCAAGAACTGGAAAAAAATGGATTCCGAGCAAATACAGATTTGTACTGAAAGCTACCATTTTATCTACACGAATTGACCAAAGAAGCTGCTAGAGACGACCATCGAGAATTGATACAACTTTCAATAATATTCCTTGGCGGAAATACAGAGAAAAAATTTGAGATACGACCGTCAGACGCTATGCGTTACTTAGTTCCCACTTCCTAATAAGGATAAGGTAGCTCTGCCTATTCATCGTGTTAACAAACGTGTAACCGTGCTTGCAATGCACTTTAGAATTGAAAAAAACATTTCAAAAGCAGCTTTGCAAAGATTCTGACAACATTTATTGTATTTGACAGATGACTTACGTCTGTTTGATGACCACGTGGATGAGGAAACTCAAGTAAAAATTGTTGCTACTTTAGCCAAAGAAGGTCCATCCGCCCACAGTAAACGCTCCATTCCACAGTCTGTTCCTTTATAGGGATCAGGGACAGAATTCGATATCTTAAAAACTAGTGGTCCTATTTGAATTCTGTAAACGCAGGGCGATTACTTATTTAAGTAGCTTTCTAAAGTATGACAAAAATTATTTAAAATAATAAGGGGTGGGGGAGCATAAATCGTTTTTTTTTTTGTAAAAGTCAAAATATTAAGTTGATGATCTCGAATAAATTGGGATAAGGTAGGATATTATTATAGCATTCTTAAGAGAGACAAAAAAGTCACGCTTGTATTTTTCAAGATCTTTACCGAATGATTTAAAAGATAATGTTGCCAACTTGTGGCGGGCGCAATATGATTTATTAAATTTGTATATCTATTTGAAAAAATAATAAGAATAATTTAAATAAAAAATAAATCTGTATAATTTGAAATTGATATTTAGGTTTTTACTTAAAAAAATATATTTAACAAAATAACAATTACTTAGCAGGTAATGTATGAAATAATATAAACTATATTAAAAAAATAACACCAAATATACTCATTCTAATCGGAATAGGATTTCTTGCTCGGTGCTGTGTCATTCGTTATTGTACCTAAGTCAATACCTAAATCATCATTTTCTTGCTTTTTTAAATAGTTCTGAACTGCCTCGTTGCATTTCTTATATTTTTTTGAACTCACCTTTCTTTTTGAGGATATAAAAGGATCAGAAGTAAGTAAAAGAACACGCATGAAATCCTTACTCGTATCTGTTCTTGAACATTTTCTGGTGTGAGATAATCGATGTTTCCTAACCTCTTTATGGCGAGCCTCAAGCGCATCCTCCGACAGTTCTCCAATGGGCAAACAAAATGCATCAAATATCTCACACCCATGAACAAGCACCTTATGTACCGTGTTTGGCATGTTGTACCACTTATAAAGGTGGATATACAAATTTCTTGCTTCTTCCAGCAATGACGCAAACTTTTCCATATCAATAGCGCAACCACTAGCTAACACTCCTAAGATGATCGCAAATTTCTCGATTAATTCCCTGTCAACCCCTGTGATGTCTGAACTTGTTTGTGGATTGTGGAAAAAAATTCTGGCCGTATTGTCATGATTTGAGGAGCCATACTCGGGTTTTGGTTTGTCAGCTATTAGAGACAGCTTGGCTCTGAACTCTGCTTGGATTCGTTTTTTGTTTGCTTCGACTATTGCTTTGTTTTCAGGCCCACGAACCTGCTAAGATTTAATTGGCAGGTGGTATCCAATATGGAGTAAGCATTCAAAAAAACGAATCCAGTAGTGTAAAGTTGACAAACCAAACCGGTAATTGTCTACGTTAGGAGGACGGTTAATCCCTGCTAACGTGTTCATGTCCTTGGGTGCGGCTCCTCAAATGATGCACTTCATAGTTGAATTTGTCTCTGATAGAACGTTTCCAACACTGCCATCCAACATTGTTAACATCATATCAACTTCAATTATATAAGAGTGCCCTTCTTTTGTTTTAATCTCAATAGGAATCAAATTTTCAATTTTTGTTATTATTTCCTTTTCCGTATTCCGCACTAAATCAGCATTTTCCTTTTTTAAATAAAAACTTGATCGGCCTACAATATAAAGCAGATGAAGGGCTCTCATTTTTCCACAACACCTTATTCGTTTCCATATCAATCAATCTGAGTGGCGTCATTGCTACAAGATACAGAAATTTCTCGGTGTTTTCTAAATCAGAAAATTTCTGCTTATATTGGCTATGCCCAGAACTGCCATCAAATCCCCCACTTGCATATCACTTTAATCCGTCAATCTCTCTCTTAAAAATTTATTATTTCAAGGATAATTTCAGCTGTTTTCAGTAGAAGTTCTTGCAAATCAACATCTGCAGGAATTTCAGTAATAATAAATTGTGAAGAGAGGATAGCATTTTTTGTTTTCTGTAATTCTTTATAACTAGGAAGGCAGTTCTGGGCCTTACCATTAATAACAGACCTAAGTAGCAAATACTTTCTTACGGATATATCCAAATCTACCATAAGGGCTAAAGCTTCAGCTGTACTAAAACTAAACATTTGTGGCGAGACCTCACTGTGATTGCTTCCAGAAACGACATTTACAGCAAATTGAAGTTCATTTGCAAATCTGTCTGTGGTTAGTTCGGCTACACGTCTTCGTTTTGTTTTCTTCGATGCCTCTCCAAATGGCACCCGTGGCCGTCCAACTGAGCGACAAGGAGGTTCTTGTTCCTCATCCGAAGATGTGTTTTTTTCAGAATCATTATTTATTCTATATAATCTTGTCTAACCAATATACCTGATTTTGTACAAGTCGATTCCGAGATTGTCCTGCTTTCTGCCATTTGTTTGCCATTTTCAACCCAAACAACTGGCTGCATTTCATAATATTACTTTCAAGATGTTTGGAAGGTTCATCTGTTATATCAATAAGAGATAATATCTTTTCGTAAACCACCTGTTTTCTATTTCCTCTCGGTGCTTCTATCCACACATCAATCAAATCTCTATTTCTGACAATAGCACCATGTCCTAAAAAAATTATATCGCCCTTAGACGTGGCATGACGTGATTTAAACTTTTTATCAAAACTTACCATGGACAGATAAACAATAAATAAAAAAATTTTTAGGGTGATGGGAGGTGATTTTTGTAAAACTCTAAAAAAAGTCAAAAGTTTAAAAAAATTAAAAAAAATCGGTAATAGTCACTTTAACTTAAAAAATTATCTAATTATAATTATATTTTAAATAAATCTATACATCAATATAATGTATTTACCAGCCTCATTACCCGCCATATTGGAAAAGTTAAAATATTTAAATATTTCGACACAAAATTTATATCTTTCCCGAGCAATAAAACAGAGAGATTTTTCGCCTTCTTGACAGGTCTCGACATGTCTATCTTTAAAGTTGCTAAAATAAGTAAATCGCAGCCAACTTGATTAAAGTACTATACTAACGTGTTGCACTGACTATTTATCTATCCAATGGTATAATAAAAGCAACAGAATTCTAACGTCAAAAATTATGTTTTTGAGTAATTTTGTCCATTGGTCGCCACACTGTGCATTCCATCGAAAGAAGACCTTTCTGGCTCACTGGATACTAAGGCTGTCGAACAATATTTTTTTTCGCCTTCTGTTACTGCTTCCATAGAATATGCCGACTGATAAAATAAGCCAGCATAAACTGCGATTTTGGCAATAGGTGGCACCTTATATTGTCTTGCTTCGATGGATCTTATACCTCAGATGGAGGTTAGTTGCTATGCTTTCGTTCGTTGTCCTGACCTGAGGCAAAACCAAAAAGACGAATAAATAAATATGGTAGGGTACGTTATATAACTGAAGAGACGAGAGGTTGATTGTACTTTCTTAGTTTTAGTCCGGTAGATTGTCACCATATGGCCGTCACGTTAAAACAAGTAGGCATTGAAATGCCGCCATGTTGTGACATGGTAAGGGAGGGTGTTTACCCTTCTCCCTTGAGGTCTCCTCGTTCACTTAAAACCAGATAGAAAACGATTCAGGTATGGCTGCGGAAAATTCATTACGATTTCGGTCCCTTTCACAGCAGGCTTACTGCTGAGGCAGAAGTTTAGATTGTAATTTAATGAAGTTGTGTGCTTTTGGGATGTAATGTAAACTGTGATTACAAAGGATACACAGCAAGGTATTGAACTTTCTCGGTTTCGATTAAATGAATTCATTACCGGATTACTGTTACCAAACTTGCATTTAGCGAATTGATTTGCGAATGTCTAACTTACAGGTCGGCCCACTATTGTAAGCATCCTAAAATCGTATCTAACGTCAGTATGAAAGCGTTTAATTCTGTCAAGGAACTGTAGGTTAAATAATAACACTTTCGTTAAATGATTACTTTGAATCTTGCTCAGTTGGAGTCTCCAAGTTGGAAATGAGGTCTGCACTTAGTTTGCAACTCACTTGGTACGTTCATGATGAATAAGTCCAAGGGCAGCAGCGGTGGCCGCAGTAGTAGACTCGTCGGACTCCTGATCAGTCGCCGTGCGCTGTGCGGGTTCGAATCCCGTCACAAGAGAAATTTTTCTCTTGGCTATGGATGTTGTGATTGTCCGTAGGTGGTAGACGGTCTCTGACTGTCGAACGCGGAGGTACCACCCGGCGGATCTCGTAGGCGGGGCCAGAATGTGTACATGTTGCTTGCACACGTGTTCCCTCGCCAGAGTCCGTGTGGCGTTCCCCCTTTCCCCTGTATCCCCCTATAGCCCCACGGTACCCCAAGGGTGTTTAGGCGATAGGCCTTCGTGGTAGTTGGTGTATAAAAAAAGTTCATATTTTTCTAAAACATGTGTTTACGATAGGTATATTCCCATCCGACGTATTTTTAGTTTTTGACAGTCATTGCATCAATAAAAAAAAATAACCGTTCACAATCCTTATGACGTATGCGAAATTGTTATTTAACATTCCTTACGATCCCATACAATTTTTATTGACATGGCGTACTTTTCCAGAAAACTCTTTAATAATTAATACCGCAATACCAATCTTATCAGCATTTCCGGTCGCGTAGGGTGTCTGGCTCTCAAACTATTTGCTAAGAGCTCATATGATTGAAGCAGAAAAGAAATCGGTAAGACTGTACTTTAGAGCATACTGCAAATGTTTCATTTCGTATTTTAAAATGAAAGATTAGGATGTAACTTTTAGGAAAATGTAATTTTTTTCTCTAAGGAACCCTCTGCTTGCTATTTTATAGAAGTTCAAAGTTGCATTTTTGGTGGTAATACTCTAGAATGGAATATTGTTTTATATGCTGGTTTTTTGATTTTTTGCACTAAAGGATGCTCTATATCTATATTATAAGAATATAGCATAAACTGTATAGTACTAAGGAAAATAGATGTGAAGCAGTAAAAAATCGTCCGTTTTTAAAAAAAGGTTATAAACCATCCGTGTAATAAGGTAAAATGACAGCTCGAAATACATACCTAAATTATGGTATTTACTTGGTAAACTGAGTAGTACTTTAGCGCATAAAGGCCGGCAATCCAGTTTTTTTCCGAAAAAATTGAAGAAATCAGTATAAATGATAATTTATTAAGGAGAATCGATGTGAAACAATAAAAAATCGTTGTTTTTTGTAGGAAAGGGTTCAAATCTAGCGCGTAATAAGATAAAATAACAGTTCAAAATATATACCTAAATGATGGTATTTATTTGGTAAACAGTGTAAAGGTGCTGTGTTGTGATTTTTTAATATCTCATTGAAATTACTTAACCAATTTTTCGCGTATTTTCAATGAGATCAAAGTTTTTGCGCTTATAAGAAATATTTGAAATTACAAACAATTCTCAATGACCATTTTATAACGTTCATTTCTTGACAGATAAGATAAATGATATCCATTCTTGTCAAGTTGTACGTTTTCTTCGTTTTTTTTTGAGAAATACTTAGTAAAAAAAGTTATTTGAACAATAAGAGTCCTAATTTATTTAAAATAGCTCATTTTATAAGGTGTGGTCCTAATATTTACTCAAAATTAGGTGCAATTTTGAAAAGCATGTATGTAAACAGTGGAAAATGTACCAGCGGCTCGCGTGACAAAAGGCACCAGCGGTCATTGCATGTAAAAATACCCAACTTCGATTCGTCGATTTAGACCACGTCAATGTCCAACATTATAGTTAAGTGAAGATCAACGACCATTTCATCAAATCATCAAAAAACTTGCAATGTCCTTTGTTATGATTCCATCACCTATAGTGACTGCCAACAGCTACTTTCTCAGTAATTCCTCATATTATTTAAATAGGTATATTCTGAGACATGAGCTTCGTTTTAAATAATTCTTCCAGTACATACATACAAAAAGTAAATAGAGTACAACTATAATATGAGAAAAACACTAACCGAATCATTTTTGTGAACGTCATACTGCATTCTTCAAATAAGTGTCTTTCGCTAATGTTATCGTAGGGCTCGAGGTAAATTTAGTACAATAAAATATGTCGTCCACCCCTTCAAATCGCATTTCCATGGCAATTATGTGCCGATTGCACATTTTTGGGCTAGTATATAAATAAGAATTTGACAGACCAAATCAAGGTATATTACTATACACGATTTGGCAACATCGCAGCTAGATGGAGAAGTTATGATAGTGATGGGAATAGTTATCTGAAATAAAAGAAATTACTAATTAATAATTATCTATTTCCATCATTAAATAATGCAAAACCGTGAACAGTGTCACAGTAATATACAGTGTATGTTATATTCATGAATTTTTGAGCAATCTGTTGTGTAAACAAGAAAAAAACACCTTATAGATACCACAGTATTACCACCCAAAATGCAACTTTGAATTTCTATAAGACACCAAGCAGGGGGGTCTCTTGAAGAAAAGGTGATATTTTCGAACAAGTTACATCCTAATCTTTCTTTTTAAAATAAGGAATAAAATGTTTTCGATATGCGCTAAAGTACTGTTCAGCCCTTTTTTGCTTGAGATTGACACTGTTGTCACTGATGACACGAGACTCAAATGCCGCACATCATGGAATACATAGAACACGATATTTTAGAAGTAAAAACAGTTGCCGCATCAACTATCATGGCTAAGTTAACCAGACCTTGAAAAACGAATTTACAGTAAACTTCTCAGTTATAGTTTCACAACCTGAAAGTTAGCCTCTGATTCAAGAATAGGGCCTTTATGCCACTAGATAAATCAGCTGTTACATGCTTCACGTTTTACATAATGATGAGATATCGTGAGAAATAACACAGGCCCACAAAAGAGTCTAGGGATCCTAATATACTTCTTCATCTATTTATTTCGCGCTGAACACGAACCTGATGTAATAAAGGGAAGTAGCTGAGCACATTTTAGAGAAAATACAAAAAAAAAACGATAGAAATCATATCACAGGTCAACAAAAAAATAAAAAGACCCACTAAGTCGCCGGTCAGGACATCCACGACACTCTATTTCTCAAAGCATACGTTTTTACCTACTTGAAAATGGATCGTCTGACTGACCTAGAAACAAAACTCTTCAATACTGTTCTGTCAGAAACTTCCATATATTCTTGAATACGACCCTGTGCTTTAATGATATAACTATGTTGACATTTATCAGCGATGTTGCCGTGTTTGCTTATGAATAAAATTCAAGGAAATAATATACAATGTATCATTCATATAATGTTTAGCATTCTTTTGTGTAAAAAAAAAGGTTATAAAGCAGTATCCTATACCACTGTATTACCACCCAAAGTGCAACTTTGAAGATCTATAAAATGGCAGGCATCGGGTTTCTTAAAGAAAAAAATGATATTTTCGTACAAATTGCATCCTAATCTTTCATTTTATTACTCGAGACGAGATATTAAATTTTTATAATACTCACACGTAGGCCCAAGAAAATCCTCATACCATTCGTGAAGGTCATTTCCAACAACGTTTTAAAATAAATATTGGGGTGGGTATTCTTGACGATGAGGTAATTGGCCCTTTTGAGTTACCCCCAAAGTTGTCAGGAGAAGGATACGTTTTCTAGCCAATAACCTACCAGAACTTTTGGAACAGACCTTATACAACATGCCATTACAACGGAGACAAAATTTGTAGTTTCTTCATGACGGGGCACATGAACATTATTCCTATCGCTGGATCGGTCGAAATGCTCATGATCCTCGAAAATGGCCAGCAAAATCTCCTGACCTCAATCCGATGGATTTCTGATATTGGGGATAACTTAAAGGGATGGTTTACGGGGCTGGTCCAATAACAACTGAAGCATAACTTCGCGAAAAAACTTTTAATGCGGCTGAAATAATAAA